ATTAATTATAATAGTGTTAGTTCTATGACATAGAAGCACTTTGATACCTTGTTTCACAATTAGCTAATTATACTGGTAATACACTCGAGTTTACTATTCACATGTTCATATATAATATTATTGTATTCAATAACAACAAATATTTATTTTAATTTTTATTATTGGTTACAATAATTGCTCCATTTTATAATCAAAATTATAATATTAATTATTATATACAGGGTGATTCTTAACCTATACGCATAAACTTGGGGATTTATTCCTCATCTCATGACAAATAATGCCTAATAGGTGAAAAAAATTGTAGCAAAAGTTTATTAGTTTCCTAGATATCCGTGAAATTTACTTTCAATAATAATAATAATAATTTATTTTGTTAATAACTCAGAAGGCATACATTCGTCACAATCTAAATATAAATACAACATAAAAAACATATAATATAAGAAAGAATAAATTACTAAATACATTATACTAAACCTATTAAAGTGTGAATAATAACCTATCTCTTAAAGTGTGAATAATAGATCACAGAAAATTGGCGATAATGCTATTTTCTAATAGGATAAAATCTTTTAATGAGAACCTATTTACTTCTTTATTCGATTATCGACTACAAACTTTACCTCCATCAATTTGCCTTATCTTTGGTGAAATATTAAGTTGTTTTGAAATGAAATTTAAAATTTTGAATTAATCTTTCAAGTTAGATTAAAATTAATAATTAAAGCAAATGTAGGATAATATTAAGATAATATTAGGATAAATGTTATACAGGTTTCTAAAGAAGACATCTTCAGCTTTAATTTGAGACGTAAAACAATTCTCCATTTTCACAAATATAAAGGTTATGATTTTTTGAAAATTAACCATTCTTATGTTATCTAAAAACGCTATGATAAAGAATAATTTTTCTCGAAATTCTTTTATACAGGGTGTTCATTTCAAAACTTTCCACCTCAATTTCTATAAATCCGGAAGTTTAAAAAGAAAATCGCTGAAATAGATAAAGAATAAAACCAAGGGGGACAACTTTTTATGCAAAAATTGACTCACTCACTTCAACCCCCCGCCGCCAGAAACCAACCCCTTAAAAATCTTAAATGGAAAGGNATAAATTAATGAATAAAAAAACAAAATGCTCATAAAAGAAACGTCTTTCATATAGGGTGTAAGCACTTTTTATACCATTACTTGATTAATACACAGGGTGAGTCAAAAATTAGGAAAAAAACATGGTTCCAGTTTTTCCACTACCATCCAGGAGTCATTGAAAAAATTTCCACCTTATTAATTTTTTTTTAAAGACAAAGGAATTGGCTACCAAGAAATAAAAAAATAATAAAAATAGGCCCAGTGGTTTAAAAATTATAAGATATTAAAATTAGGTCAAAAATCAAGTGCGTCACTATTTTTGGAACTGAGTGTATAAAGAAGAAAACGCTCAGCAAAGAATAGCAAAACACTATCAACAACCGATCGCCAAAAGCAAAGTGATGTCCAAACGAAACTTAAAAGAATAAATACCATCAAAAAATTAAAATTCTAGGTAATTGCGTTATCTCATTTTTTTATGACCATCGCAAACCCTTTGTAAAATCTTACCGCGCGACATTTAAAGAGACGGGGATGTTTCCCAGAATTGGATGGTAACAACTGACAAACACTAAACGAAAACTAAAATAAATATTTTGTTGTATTTTATTATGAATAATTTAAATAAGGAATTTCGTAAAATTTTGACAGATAATAATTTTCAATCAAAAGTAAACGTTACAATAATAATTACAATAAACTATTTTTAATATATTTTTAATACTTTTTTTTTAAAATATTTATTTATTATTATTGTAACGTTTTATATATATAATTACATGTATGCCTTACGCACCCCATACGCGCCGGTGTGCGTAAGGCATTTTCCCCTACTCTGCGCAAAAAATAAAAAATATACCGAGAGATCAAAAAAGCCGGTCCGCTAAAAACTACTTTCCCAAGCGCTTGATACCAATACTTACTACCCTCGTCACAGCCTCCTCCCATCTCTACTTGTTTTTAATTTTCAACGTTCTTATTGGTCGACGAGGTGATATCGATTTTTAGTTTCAATGGTTTCGATCAGCTGAGCTCAGAGTCGTGTTCTTGGTTTTGGCGTTTGGTGTTTTCAATATTTCATTATGAATTTATTGCGGTTTTATTTAATATTATCTGTCTTTATTAAGACAAAAATTCGATTGTGATTTTTCTCTAAGGTAAATAATTATTTTATTTTAAATCGGTTTGGTATAAATTTCGTTGATTTATTTTTAGGTTAAATCATACCGTTCACCTTAGAAGAAGACAAGTTTCAAAGTTTCTTCGCCAATCTTATCTTCGAAATGGAGTAAAAGATCAAAATGGGATATGAAAATATTCAACAGGTCTTTGTGTAGAGGAATTTAGGGAGACATGCCTGGAAAATGTAGTGAATTACCTTATGTCATGACATTAGAAAAGTTGTCAAAG